GCGAAGGAAATGCCAATCAACGGTATCATAAGCCTTTTGGATATCAACTTTAAAGGCACAGCAGGGAGGGCCCCGATGCTTATGATAGCCGCGCATGAGCTCCTGAACAAGAAGAATATTATCAGTAATGAGCCGACCCGGGATAAAGGCAGACTGGTTGAGGTCAACCAGAGAGGAGAGGTAATCCTTAATACGATCAGCTACGATCTTGCTAATGATTTTATAAATGACATTACAGCAAGCGATAGGCCGAAAATCAGTAACACGAGACGGGGCATCCGTCTTGGGGATAAGGGCGAGAATGGTGCTATTGATAGACTTTAAGATCTCACCATTCCTGAAGAATTCACGAACGGCGGAGCACACATCCTGGCCAACAACACTCCAAGCGGCTTTGAAAAATTTAGAAGTGAAACCGTCAGGCCCCGAAGCTTTATCATCTCCCATCTGGAAAAGGGCCTGCTTGATCTCGGAGTCAATAACAGGAGCAAGCATCATGGCGGCTTGATTGGTATTAATCTTATTGGTAAAGAGAAAGGCAGGATTATGAATAGGAAGGGAGGGATGAGCAGTACCAAGGAAGTTTTCAAAATGAGAGACAAAGAGATTGGGGACCTCATCATTAGAAACCCAGAGACCGTCAGCATTTTGAATGGTATCGATGTGATTCTTGCTGATACAACTCTTGACCGACTTATGAAAGAAAGAAGAATTTCGTTCTCCTTCACGGAGCCAATTGATCTTGGCTTTTTGCTTAGGAACCGTTCCTCATCGAGACAGGCACTATTGTAGGCAGATAAATACCCACAGTGCTCCTCTCGGAGGGCCCCATTTTCAGGATCCAAATCCAGCGCAATCTGGACCCTGTCAAGCTCAAGCCGTAACTTAGCAACTTTAGAAWGARGRTTACCCTGATCACTAAGCATCTTACGGAGGGGCCCTTTGAGATTTTTAAGATTTTGAGAAATCTTATACATCTCACGACCAACAAGATCAGGGTGCCAATGAGAGGACACAACATTCAGAAAAGGTTCTTTGTACGTAAGAAGGTTGGGGAACTTGATGGGTTTGGGTTTACGAGGAGAGTTAGACGGAAGAGTAAGAACCGTCGGGCTATGGTCCGAAGACCGATAGGGAAGAAACACAACAGAAGCAGAAGGGAAACGGGCAAGAGAATGAGAATTGCCCAAGACACGGTCAATCTTTTTAAGAAGACCTCCCGTACCGTTGGGATTTTTAGTCCAAGTAAAGAACAGACCCTTGAAATTGACATCCTCCACCTCAAGGTGTCGGACACAATGACGAAAATCATCCATACCACGATTTGGGCCCGATATGCCAGAGGAGCTGTCCTTAGGGTCAAGGGCAACATTGAAATCTCCCATGATAAACCATGGGGTGTCCTTAACGACATTTTTATGGCCCTTAAGAGAAGCCCATAACTGGCGACGGGCGATATGGTAATTATCAGCATACACCACGGACAGGAAAAGAATCTTAGAGGAGTCACAGATCTTAAGCTGAAAATGCATCACCTGATCGGTGGCATTTAAAAGCATCATGTCGACATGGACAGGGTTCCAAGCAACAATGATACGGGTTCCTCTAAGGCAAAGAGAACCATTAGAGGCCCAGGACCAAGACCCAAAAACTCTCTCACAGATGGATGGAAGACTAGAAACAGCAGCACGTGACTCAAGAGCAGCACAAATTTGAAGATTGGATTCCCGGATGAGATCTCTCAAAGCTCTCTGATGGGAGGGGTTACAGAGACCACGGGTATTACAAGAGGCAAAGCTCAACATTGGGAAATGGGGGAGGGGGTGGAGTCCATCTGCTCGGGCTCCAGAGAAGACAACGAATCAACCTGGGGAATAGGGATATCACAAGCAACAAATCGGGCGGTGTCGCCATCATCCGACTCAACCTCAATCCTATCACTCTCATCCAGGAGGTCATCCTGATCAAGAGGATCATCTTCAATCACAGGGGGAGCAGAAGAGGGAGGAAGGGACGAGGAGGAAGACCCAGGGTCTCTAGGAAGAGACGAGTAAGAGAGAATAGAGAAGCGGTTAGAAGAGGGAGTGGGAGCCATGGATTGCTTTCGGGAAGAGGGGGGAGGGTGAGAACACTTGGGGGCTAGGCGGGAAAGGATGGATGGCCGGGGAGGGGAGGGTGGGGAGCTAGGAGATAAACCCATGGGGGGAGAGAAATGGGGGGGGGGGGAGAACCCTTGGGCAAGGGTTCGGTCTTTTAACCTTTGGAACTTCTTGACGTGGGGTGGCCATCATCTTTTCTTTCATTTTTGCATCAACATGTTTCCCTTTAGAAGCAAGGGGGTGGGTCTCCTTCTTCTTGTACTCCTTCCTCATTATGGGTATCGATGCCTTAGGTTTTTGGCCTTGCTTGAGAACACGGGTCTGAAATCCTTCACTAACTATCATAATTTTCTTGCCAGAAGTGGTTTGCTCATTTGTGGTAGTCACAATAGTATCAGATTTTGAAATAGCCGTCAAATAAGCAGAAGTAGAATGACCAAATATATGACAATCAGTGCACATAGGGGGTTTCCATTCATATTCAACACGAAGGGAGTGAAGGGTCATAGAACCAGTGTCCGGATCCGGGATACGGACATTGACATAATCCATCCAAGCTTGCCTAAAAGGAACTTCAAGAAGGACCCGGGCGAAAGCGGATTTCCCCGCAGCATAGGTACACATGTTAGCAGTCCAAGAATCCATGGCTAAAGGCTTACCTATTTTACTGGCAATATAACTCAGGCCTTCATCGTTCCAGGCATCATAAGGAATGTCATGAATCTTAATCCAAAGGGGAATACTATCATGCTTTTTCGAGTTTAGGTTAAGGCCGGGTCTCCATTTCAGAATTATAAATAGAGCAATCCGGCCCAGATGAAGGGTGTCCATTCACCAAATTCGCAACCCCATGCAAACAGGATGACCCATGTTTATCCAACAACTCCAAACTAGAAGACCCATTAGTTTGGTCAATATCCATTAGGTAGTTACCATTTTCTTGATTAGGGTTTAGGGTTTAGGGTTTAGGGTTTAGGGTTTAGGGTTTAGGGTTTAGGGTTTAGGGTTTAGGGTTTAGGGTTTAGGGTTTAGGGTTTAG